TTTCTTCCTTTCTTCTCTTGTTGTTGTTGCGCTACCTGAGTGTTTTTCATTATTGCGGGTTTAGTTTTTCCAGTTCAAAAGTCAATGTTAAGTCTTTTCTTCACCTTTTGGTGAAATCTTTAACACCTGTTACTTAGATTTTGTTTAATCTATGTACAGAACAGAACGATGAAAATAAAATTCTGGGTTTTATTTTAATTTGACATGAAGGGTTTTCTTTTCTTTAATGTTATAATTTACTGTCTTGCGAGAAATTAGGTTAAAATTCTGTCTTGAGAAGGCTTTTGCCATAGCAAGTTCATTGTAGTGAAATGATTACTTTTGGTGTTTAGAATCATCTGATTGGATGTTGGAAGTGGACAATTTTCAGCTTGATGATAACATGACTGGAAATTGGGTGGTGGAGGCTTTTTGGCATTGACAGATAAGGGTTTAAAAACGTTGATGGCGGTCTCTGTCTTTGTTGTTTTTTCTGTCTAAAATGGGCTCAAATTATCTCAACAGAATCTTTTCTTTGTATATATATACTAATAAGGAAAGGGTTAGAAAGAGGACAAACAGAAGCACCAAACCCAAAATTGTGGCTTTATCTGGGGGTTTTGTTTATCATTATCACTCCATTTTGGAGGTATAAAACTTATCTAACAAGCTTTGATTTAGGAAAAAATGAAGTTATTTTTAAACACCACATTTAATCAATCATCATCCTTTCATTTTTTAGTTTGAATTCACCATCAAGTGCTTGATTGTATTTAATTAGAGTTCTCCTACCTAAATGAGCATAAAGTTTTCATTTTTCTCCATGTTCTTCCCCCCTTGTTTATGGTTGACAGTTGATGAATTGTTAATATCATGCTACCTTATTTAATCAAATAACATCTTTCATTGAACACAGCCGCAAAAAGTGTGGCTACCATTAAATAAAAGTAAGTACATGATCATCAAAATGGAACTTGCTTTTACTCCACACAATGGAGATGAAGAAGTACAAAAATTTTTATTCAATTTGAATGGATTTCGGTACAATTTTGCATACTTACAATCTCTTCTACAAATGGAAAATGAATAAGGAATAAAGACTACAAGCAATGAATCAATGAATAAAGAATAGAAGGTTTCAGAGTATAAACTAAAAGAATGAAATGATTATGTATCATTGGCATAATGTTCAAACATTTTAGCCAGATAGGGTGCAAGCTTCAGGAACCAAATACATCCAGAGTTCTTGCTTCTCTTCCCTCAACAATTGAAACACTTTTCCCTTTATCTACAGCTCCATTTTTCGCCTCCTTGTTCTGTTCCACTTCTTGAAGTATTCTCCTCTCCTGGTCACACCATCATCACTTTAGTGTAACATCAAGCAAATCTATATGCAGTTATTTGCAGCCAAGCTTTATATGACTTACTCTTAGAACCAGAGCAATAATGCACAAACTTCTGTTTCCCTTCTCTTTCGTCATTTAAATGATAGTTCATGATAGAATTATCAGCTCATTGCAGTTAGAAATCCTTGATTTTAACAGTTAGACATTGCAAGATTCTTCTATTATAAACCATAGCATATTTGTACCTATCTTTTTAACAGGATAATACTCTGAACTGCCCTATGAAGACGAATGAACATAGCAGTTACTACCATCGACCTTATGCAGAGACTTTGAAGGGGTTGTTCTTCCAGCAGTACGAGTGGCAGAAAAGCATTGAGAGAGGGGGGATTAGTTCTGATTTGCAACAAACTTCCTCTCCTTTTTTTCTCACATTCTCCAAATTCAAAGAGACTGGGATGTTTTCTGACTCATCAAATCTTCTGCACAATTGGATCAATCAACCTTTTAGTCACATACAGGTCAACTTGATGGTTTCTACAGTCTAAAAACCACAAATTCTTAATGGTTAGTTAGCAAACCAAAAGTCTTAATATGTCATTAGTTCACTCCAATAACAAATTTTCTTGAGCTAAAAAAGAATTGATCAATCAGATGGCTCAATCACTTTTTCTCTAGCTATGAAAAATGGTAGTTTAAAAGGGTCTAATGCAGCCATTAGATCAAATGATTAGGCAATTTTTACAAACAACTCAATATTAAATCACCTATCATCTGCACAGAATTTACAGTGTTAATGAACTTACTTCTTCCTCCTTTGCTTGTCTTAGCATTTCCCATCTCAGAACCTTCGATTTCTCTTTTGTCCAACACCTCAAGCAATGGCTTCCTCTCCTTCTCTCTCCCATCCAACTCACCTAAAACCTCAGAGAACCCTCATTTTCAACGGTATTTCTCACCCTCTTGACCCTTCCTCCATTCAACTTTTCTACATTCTCCCTCTCCCTCACTCTCGTTGCCAGTTCTTCATCTCATTGCAAAAGTCGTAATATGATGTGATATATCTCTGCCCGCTAATAAGTTCCTTGCTGAAAGTGTGGCTTTTAGTCTTGGCAAAACTTCATCATTTTGTAAGTGTCATTGATCTGTTTATTGTACTTTTCACTGCTTGATTTGATAGCAGCTTCAAAGACTTAACTTGATTTTGGGGTGTTACTGAATTTGGGTTCTGATTTTCACTGTCTTCACGAATTTGGTTGGCTTATCATTCGATACAAACGATGTTTGACTTTGTCCTCTTCTCTTCAATTTCATCTCTGAAACCAAAAAGAAAAAATACACAAAAGAGGTGAGTTTTTACTTTGATTAATTGAATCTGAACTTCTTTGGACTAACAAAAGACAAGCAAAGAACTTAAATTGGTACCTTTGATTCCTTCTCCAAGGGGAAGCTTTTCAATTGATCTTGAAATCTTCACCAAAACAAAGAATGAGAAAAGTAATAAAAAACAAAATTTACCTCAACTACTCCATTGATGCTACTATTTTCTTATGTGAAAATAAATGGAAATAGAGATTAAAACCTTAGAACTTGGCGGTGTTTTAAAAAATCCTCAGCTGCTTTGGATGCTTACAATCTGAAACAACAATAAACAAACCAATTCAATTCAATAAACCATTACTCAAACACAAAAAACCATACATTTTATATGCAAATTAAAGAAAAAAGAAAAAAAAAAAACTTTACCGGGTCGGCAAAACCAGGCTTCATCATCAACATGAACTTCATCAGAGCCAATAAATCAACCCATTTGGGTGCATTGATATCTCATAAACTTTATCTTCAACAAACACCGACTCTATTCTCTTCCAGTCAATTTTTGCTGGCTCCATTATACAAAGAAAGGAGAGAGCTTAGAGAAAGTAACAAAAACCCAGATACGAAACTGAGGTGTAACGCTTATTTCTGAGCGAAAGATTGGATCTTTGGAGAGAGAAACAGTGACCCGGATTCCAGAAGGTGAGCTGAAAGTGAAGTAGCTGTTATGTTATGTTGCGGAGAGAGGGAATGAGAGTAACGGTTACTCGCACGAGAGTTAACGTTGTGGGGCTCTCAAGTTTTTGACCGTTGGAGATTTCTTTATAATTAATTAATTATTAAAGTCTGTTTTCTTTTAAGCATTGATTGTGAGGTGGTGTAGTTAATTTTATTTATTGGATCTGATAGATGAGAAAGCATTATTAATGGGGTTTAGAAGAGCTTAATCACAAGTCCATGAACTTAGATTTGCCATGTGCCCACATTGAAAAAGTCATCATCTTGTGAGGTTTTTTCTGATGCAAGAAAAAGAGAATTATACGAAGATTTTTGATGAGGAAATATGATTAGAGGTTTTCAAAAAAATGCAAAAGTTGAACCAAACCAAAAATTGATTCGGTTACGGTTCGAAAAATTCAAAAAACTAGATTTTCAATTCGATTACTAGTTCAAAAAAAATAAAAAACGGTTAACCGAAATCGATTTTTTAAACCGGTTATATATAATAATATTAATAAAAAAATAATTTCATTTCACACTTCTATTTGTATCATTTTTTAATGTATTGTTAGTATGGTCAATGGATATGTTGAATGTTTATTTTTATTTGGATATATATTGTTTATATTTACAATTTAATTTAGGAAAAATTAAAAAAAATAAGTTTTTATAAAAAAAAGGAAAACCGGTTAACCGAAAAACCGATTTTCCCTCCAAATTGATTCGGTTTCGATTCGAAATTTTTCCAAACCGAAAAACCAGCTTGTTAACTGCTTTTGAACATCCTTAATATGATTCTTCTTCACCATGGAAGAGGAGGCGAAATTGAAGAAATTATTCGAATTTTAAATGGTTATTATAATTTAAACATTGGATGTTATAGAAAGAAATAAAAGAAGCCATAGAACTCATCTTCTCCTTCCTGGTAGACAACGAAGCCGATGTTGCAAAAATGGTCAGAAGACTTTTTCATGCAGCAAAATTACGATCTCGCAATATATTAATCAGTCATATTTAGAAAACTCTTTTCTTGCTCACTAATTATTGCTAGAATTAGGGAAACTTTTTTTCTTGCTGGCTAATCTTCGGTTGTCTTTCAAGTTTATTTTATGGAAACTAAAAAATCCTGCCACAATTAGGAAACTTTGATTCAGAGTGTTGTCTTTTTTTCAATTACCCAAAGGCATAGAATCAACTTCTCCTTCCTTGTCGACAAGAAAGCCGAGTTCTGCAAAGTATGGCAGAAGAGTTCTTCACTGTATGCAGTTCTGAGAATCAAAGATCATGGCATTAGAGCGGGTGACATCAAGAAGTGATATAAGGGTTTGGCGGATGTGATTCATCCACAAGTGTTTTCAGTAGCCTAGCCGTAGATGGAGCCACCAACGTTATCAATAGCCTGGGGTTCTTTCTGATGCAAGAAAAAGAGAAGCCTACGACAGATTCGCAATGAGTTCTTCAAATAGTTCAAGGAAATATGATTCTTCATCATCATCGTCATCGTCATCTATCAGGGGGCCATATTGAAGAAACTATTGAGATTTAAATTGTAATTTTAAACATTGGATTTGATTCTTATATTTTTGGAATGGTTTTGTAAAGAGATTTACTCATCTATTTTGGTGTGCTCATTATGCTAAGGCTTAAATATTTTAAGGCCACTAAGAAGGGCTGCTTGGATATCATCACAGATAAACACAAAATTCAGACTCAGAGACCAATCTGAAATTCACATTCTCTTACTATAGAAACGAAGATTATAAAAACTTATACTACCGGGGTTTCGTCTTAGTTCCTTTACTGTTCCTATGTGCACAAAAGAAAAATAATAAATGGGTAAAAGATAGAAATAAAACTGTCTTCCACTTTGATGCTTTAATGCTTTGATTCCTCGCCAAATACCTCGTTGTTGCAGATCGGACATATCTGATATATAGAACATTAAAGATCAGGATCAGTCGTCGAAGAATGAAATTGAGAAATATGGAAAAATTTTGTTGTTACACAGAGCAATTACTAACCTTGTTAATGCTAAGCCATTTACTGATGCATTCAGAGTGGTAAACATGCCTGCATGGCAATTTCATTTGTCGATCTCCTCTTTTGTACCTCATTTGGCAAATCACACACCTGTTTCACAAACAATAATTAACAAAGATTCATTCTTTTACTAGTTGCTGAGTTTGCTCTGGCAAATCCTGATTATGACACAGAAGCAGTGAATTTTCATAGTCGTAAGAATAGACAGTCCTGAATAATAGAAGCCATTCAATTAAAAAGGACTAAACGCATGCATGACTTGAAAAAACCAATACAAACTGTTCCAATTTAAGACCATCAATGATCAAACTTTATGGTTAAACATGAAATGGAGGCTTTAAATGCACATCAACTGACTAAGCAAGCAATGTGAGTGCCATCCAGTCCAATATCAACTACAACGTTTAAGAGGTTCAGAACCAGAAAAAATTAGTGAAAAGCAAGAGTAATGTGGGTTTTCTGAAGTATCTTATTTTCTAGCAGGGTATGTTTAAGTAGCATCTAAAATCTCCAGGTAGAAGTAAAAAGCAAGAAAACAGTTTATAACCTTATATGATTAACATGATTTTACCATCATTCTGATCAGAAACACTAGAATGCAAATTGATGTACAAGCCTAGTTAGTGAATACGGGTATGGCAAAAAAATGGTACGGAAATTTTACAGGTATGATACGATAAATGGTGAAAAATACGATTATAAAAATTCGGTCATAAAATTCGGATACAGAAAAAATACGGTACGGGTATATACGGGTTTAATACGGCACATTGTCAATAATACGTTTTAAAAAATACGACAATATCAATCCTAGATTTAACACTTTTCATGGGCCATTTGGTTAAAATCTATATAGCATTTCAAATATACGGGTACAGCAAAAAAATGGTACAGGAATTTTAAGGGTATGATATGACAAATAGTGAAAAATACGTTTGTAAAAATTCGGCAAAAATTCAGATACGGGAATAATTCGCGAATAATATGACTGAGGCATATAATTCGCAAATAATACAGCTAGGCTGATAAAATACGACAGTTGGCAAATAATACGCGAATTATATGATTGGGCGTATAATTCGCGAATAATACGCGAATTTACTAACTAGGTGTACAAGTGCACTAAACAGGGAAAAACAGAAAGATGTAAATCGTCTATAAGCCTGAGACATGGAAACAAGAAAAGCAAAGGAAAGATGAACAACAAGGACAGATACATGGCTATAATTGACGTTAACAAAATTAAGGAACACTTTCAGAAGCCAGTATGTCACCTCTCCCCTGATTTTTTTCTTGAGAATAGGTTTCCAAACTTGTATTTTGCGGTTGGAAGCAAATTAATAAGTTCCTGGGAGAGACCTCGACTCTGAGTTCCAACTGTCTCACCCAAGTCAAGTAGTTCCTGCATACAGAAATGTTGACAAATCAATACCATAATATGCCGACAGCAAGAGTCATGGCAAAAACCAATGTCCAAAATATAACCCAGCTTTAAATGAGAACTACTACATCATCTAATTTGAAAACTTTTTTTAACACTTCATTCTGTCCCTAAGAGTTAGTTTTTTACAACTAGTATTATAACAAATTTTACAAAACTTTAGAAAAAGTAAATAATCCTAAAAGAACACTAAATATCAGCTCCATCTTTTCACTCAAAAATCATTGTACTTAAATTTGGATAGTCCCAAAAGGAAGGATATTAGTATTTGTACCGCAACATACAACAAAATGGTACAATAAGCAGGAATAATTTAGAACATTTCAAAAATCCTCTAACTGGATGTACCAAAACTGGTTCAAAGAAGTTTCACATGATGCAACCCCAGGTTGTTGACAAATGATAATAACACCATTCACAGGGCAAGACACAGAGACGAGAGAAAATTCATAGAAACAAATATCCTGTTGTGCATCATTTTGTAGACCACTAAGAAATAAAAATGCAGAATATTATAAGAAATTAAAATAAGCCATATAACACAAACCTCATAGGACATGTTATCTGGATCGATATTATCTTGCCAAACGACCTGTGACAATAGGAAGTAGGCCATATCTTTATCAGCAAAAATTTGAAGGGCTTAATATGTGTAAGCATATGATTTTCAAGAGGAAATACAGTTAGTTAACATAACACTGAGATTCTAGTATGGACATTAAACAAATACAATGCAACAGCAAGCAAGCTTCATACTTGAGAACTATTAGAACTCTGATGATTTGGACTGCCTGCAAAAGCAAAAGCAAATTCTTAAAGACTACGGAAGTAACTAAGTATTATGATTACTGAAGGTAAAAAGTTCACAAAGATTGAGGAAGACAAGCAATCTCATTCAGAAATGAAGATAACCCAAAAACAGCTTTCAGCGATCAAAGATAAAATATCTTTAGTAACTCTAACTTGCTAGTAAACTCTAAACAGGAAGAACTCTTTAACAAATTTTTAACTAACATTCTTCAGGTATAGCATGCACATTCATGACGACTTCTTCTTCACATTGTGAGTCTGTGGTTGTAGGTTCATCAGTGTTCATTGTCGAATCGTATTCCCAAGTCCTCCTGCCAGCATCTACTCTAGGCAAATGATCATTTACCTCATATTGACCATAGTAATAAGTACTCTCTGGACCAGAAAATCCAAACTTGTATGGATTCATATTCAATGACCAGTAGATATTTTCCTGAGAAAAAGAACATAGATATGTTTGCATGAAAATAGTATAGTAGATCATGCATATATAGAAACTTCTACGCCACACATTACAAGATATAAACAAATCAGGCAGTACAATACTAGGCTTGCCAATTCTTCAACTATAAATCCTCCAAAAACAACAAAACATTTTATTTCACTTGAAAGCAAAATGACCATTAGTAAACATCAATTCCAGAAAGTACCTCTCATAGTTTTCTTCTCTTAGGCAAAAGTTTCACATATAACGGTTTAAAAATAATTGAATTTACTCTCAATTTTGGAAACGGATAAAGTCATAAATGTATATGGGCAACAACCCATATCCCCATTGATGAGCAGCATGGATCTGACAACCTTACATCAAAACCAGTGCCAAAAGCATAACAACCTAATGGGCCACTTTTGACAATAATTTTTTTTTATTTTTTTGAAATATAAATTTAGAAACTGTAAAATGGAAGTACCTGATCATGGATCGGCGCTGCCTGGGTGTAATTCACAGGAACATGTGTCAAACCTTCAAAGAAATCCATGAAACTTTCAGTAACAGTGTAGGGAAAACCAGTATCTATGTAATGCACCTCCATTTGTCTGTTCCCATTCATTTTGAACCAACTATTCCAACCAACTCAAATTCTCAAAACAAGCTGCAAAAATACACAAAAATATCAACAAACTCCAATAAATAAAACTGAAAAAAAAGAAAAATTAACAGTTTTCTTTTATAAGTATCAAGTTTCTTACCTAATAGAGAGTTTGAGTTTATTCACTGTCGATGCAAGCTAATCTCAGCGAACTGCAAAAACAGTAAAACAGTAGTCATATCAAGACCAAAGCATATACACATTTCAAATAAAGCACAAAACCCAAAAATAAAAAAAGCTAGCCTAATTGTGAGCTAAATTTGTTAAATTTAGGGTAAAACATGCCTAAGGTCCAAAAATGGAGACAACATTAAAAGTCCTACAGCCTCTGTTTGACTAGCAAGAAAATGGAGGAAACTAAAAAGAAAACAGTTGTTTAAGAATTTCCAGATTCTTCATATTATTCATCCTAATTACAGGAAAAAAAAAAGCAGAGCTCGGAACCAAAATAAAAAACTTGGAGCATTCTACCCATTTAGTAACGTTTCTGTCTTTCACAAAACCAAAGCAACATGAAATCATAAAATCCACAACTTTCCTTTCTGTTTTCTAAACTTTTCCCGGAACCAAACAGAAAATATCAGAGCTCTTCAGACCATAAAATTTATACATTCATCAACAAAGTCTAAAACGATTCAAAATTCAACTAAAATAACAACAACAACAACACAAAAAAAAACTATTTTTTTTCCACAAATAAAAGCTAAATTCATCCACATTTGGAAACTACCATCAAGCACTCAATTTACAAGAAAACAAAACGAACTTTAACGTTCAACGACAAAGAAGATCAAAACGAGAGAGCAAAGCAGACAAGAAAAAAGAAAACAACTACGACGACGTTTCGCGCAAAGATTCTAATTACATTCGCATTAAAGACCAAGTAAATAAATAAAAATAAAAGAGAAAAGAAACTGACAAAGAAGGAGAGTTGGAAGCTGAGAAGAAGACAATGAGAGGAGAGGTTTGAGTGAGGTGAGTGAGCGAGTTTTGGAAGAGAGAGAGAGCATCAAAGTGAAAGTGAAATATGTTTTTGTTTTCACTCACTCAGTCTCAGTAATCCATTTGTTTTTTTCTTCTTTCTATCTGTTTGTCGTCGTCTGTCTCTTCTTTGTAGCGCTTTTGATGCTGAGTTTTTCATTTTTTTTCAGGCACGTTACGTGTTTTTTTTTTTTTTTTTTTTTCTAATATATGTTTATATATTATATATATTTGCGAAATCACACGTGTCAATATTTCAGGAAACGGGTATGGTTTTGTTAATAAATCAAAATTATATAAGGAATTTGGAGTGCTTTTCTATTCAATTATCAATATTTTTTTTTTTCACAAGATTTTTAGTTTATAACTTAATTTAAACATTTTATTTATGAAAATAATAAAAAATCATTGACGCATTTATGATGTTGTTGACTAAAATAGAATAATTGATGTAGAGTATGAAATTGAATTAGAAATTCAAGTAAGTAGGTAAAAGAGTAAATATTTTTGGTGACTTTTAAGATTTAAACTATAGAGATAGATAATAATAATAAATGCTTGACAAGACTAAACAAGCATAACAAAATGATTATAGATTCAACAACTAACCAAACCCATTTCCTATTTTTGATTAATTAGTGAATTAAAAAAATAAAATCCCAAAAAAGAGGAAAAATAATTGACCCAAAAAAGATAAAAGCCAGCTTCACAGCTGGTGAAATCTCAGCCGCATTGACTAAAGTTATGACTGACCAAATCTTGACCGTACAGCTGTTAGTTCTGCTCCTGATGGACCTGATCTCTACGAATTGCTCACCTAAAAACCATCAGAACAGAAAGGTTGGTCCCCAAACAGCAAGCGCAACCAGCAGCTTTAAAGTGAAAAAAACAAAGCAAGATAATATTAATTACGTATATAGTTTTCTAAATTCACCCACCTGGTATTTTCATAATGTGACCTAAGTACAAAGTTATTAAGTTATTGATTAGACAACCCAGTTGGTAATTAGGGCAAGAGATCAGATTTAAGTGGTTAGGTTTAAGTAAAATTAGGTGGGGGAAATCTAATTTTGGATACCCAACTTTAGCAATTTAATTATGTTTCTTAAGGGCCCCTACAAAGAAATGGGTATATTATATATGCAGAAATGAACAGATTGGACTTGGTAGAAATTAGCTTTCTCACATTCAATAATGGTACTAATTGACACTTTCATGCTTTGCAAAAACCAGAAACAAAATGCCCCAAGTTCTGATAAATCCAGTTTGGGATCATCACCAAGTTGGAAGAAACTGTCAAAATGTCATTGTTGTACATTACAGAATTCACTTTTTGGCCACAGAAAGTGCAGGACAAATTCAATTTTTTTGTTTGTTTTGTATTGACAAGACTAGACTATGAATTGGGTAGAGTTTTTGTATTCAATTCTTATCAGTAAAATTGAAAGAAAACTTGCATGCAGTTGAAGATAGATCACCAAACCATCTGCCACTTTAAAAGGCTGGCTAGTTTACATTTAAGAAAACCACTCAAGAATTGACGCAGAGCTTTAAAAATTTTATCTACCAACTCCTCGTTGGTCGATTTTATGTAACGGCGTCGACTAACATTGGTTACTGTGGCTTAACGAAGGTTTATATGTATGTATGTATGTTAAAGTGAATGCAGAAGACTATTGAATTAAACCAAAAGACAAAAGGTAAAAGAATAAGAAAACCAAAAATGGTTGGGTATGAAGAAGCTTTTGGTTTGGCAGGCCACGAGGAAACTGTGTTTGGGTTACACAATATGTCCTGCAAATAAAGTAGAAGAAAAACAAGATAAAATAATGGTGAAAATACAACACAAGGGACCACAAAAATACATTAAAGCAGAGGTACAAAATATCAAACAAATTAACATTGACGGGTAAAACAAGCCTTTTTTTTTTAAATGAAGATGTTTGGATCAGCTTACGTGTACTTTAACTAATCCTCGAGAGAGACTGGCGTAACAACCCGCTGTCACGACCTTCCACTTAAATCGCAGATATTCAAATAGAAAATCGACCTAAAACCTGAGTAAGCTTTGCCTTGCAACCACTTGCTGAGCATTTATAAAGAATGCATGCATATGAATGAATTCACAAGAAGCTTGGGACCAAAGATGACCTTATTTGCAAGCAAGGAATTGATATGGCTTATACACAATGTAATTTGATTTTTTGCTTTCTATTTTTGTGGATGCAGTATATGGAAGCTGAAAAGCTAGTCAAAAATTTAACAAAAGAATGAGACAGGGGTATCTAATACAAGAGATAATAATATTTAACAAAGTGATTTGGGTTTAGTGTTTAGTCAACTTCATTAAAGCCAGAATAAAAATGTATTTGCATTGCTTGCAGGAGGTTATATATATATTCATGGGCCATGGCCAAGCTAAAAGCATGAAATTCCCATTATCGCAAATCTCTTTTAGGCAAGATCCAACCCTGAAAATTAAAAGAAGGTGACTCAGAACCTACAAAAAAAAAAAGGTAGAAGGAAGTGCAATTGGGGATTCATTCTGCTGCAAAGTTTAGTCTAAATTAAACAGTAAAAAGGGTAGCACTACTACTTTTTATCATGTTATTGAGACATGGAGATTCGAATGCTTGTGTTCTCAAAAGACAATGGAGATTTGACATTTTCATTTCTATAGAGGTTCTCCGGAGGGCAATTCCAATTTTTATTTTTATTTTTTAATGATCAGAGTTTAAACGAGTTTACATACATCTTAATTAATCTTTCGGGACCTTAAAACTACCAACTAAATAAGAACTTCATTAACTATCACAATTAAATTACTATTAACAATCGAAGAAAGATTCAAACTCAATAACTCTCGAGTATTACAACTAAGAGTCTTTCTTAGAGGTAATTAATTTTCATCTTCTTTTGCTCGTCATTCCTACAAGATGTTAATATATTTTGCATATTTCTATCCACCGATTTGCACACACAAATTGCTAGATCCATCATGTTAGATTACACGGCTCATATCACATAATGCTAACGAAAGATACTAAATATCATATCCCATGTAGTTCAACGCAAAAGAATTCAAAAAACTATGGGATTTCAATTCTTACAATGGAGGATCAAATTCATTCAGATGGCAAGGCTGAGTATCTATAGCTAAAGCAAGACGAGCACAGTAGGTGATGGGCCACGCAATGGCAAAGCTAGGAACGAAGAAAGTACCAAAGTCATGACTATCCTGGAATCATCAAAACCAGTAAACAAAATGTTAGAAGATGAAGAGAAGTTCAACATATCATTCATTTATCTCTTTAAATGCTTAAAAAGTTATACATAGATTTCTATCTCATTTCCCTTTTTTCTAAAACATCCTAGAACAGATAAAAAATTGGATGTTCCATTGAATTAAAGATATGGCAAAGAACAAACTATATAAATCTAGATCCTTCAACGGTGAATGAATATGGCATACAAGGGGATATAAATGTTCTCTTGCCCTTATGTGAGGACAGAAAGTAAGCAAGATGGCTACGAAGAAGGCTATCTTTTATTTGCTTTCAGAACATATTTTTTTTTGGCAAATGATTGCAAAATCAAAGAGTGAAAAAAGATTATGAAATAATTACACATAAAATCAAGCCAACCACACAGACAAGCACAACATGTCAAACTCCACATAAATGCTTTTAAGATGACAACACATAAATTTCAAAAAGAAGACATTGTTGCATCAAAAGCATGAAACTGACATCACACGAACAACCAAAAGCCAATGAAATAATGAAACTTAATGTTAGTTATAATGCATACAACCCCTACCAGATCATCGTTCATTAATTCATAAACAAAACAAATCAAATAACTATACTAACCAGCAAGCTTCCAATTGGGAGCACTCCCTTCAAAGAATCATACATTCCAAAGTACAGCCCACGGTAGACAATGATTCCGACACATGAGATGCTGAATCCATGATAAAGCCCTGCAATACCATCAGATTTCAATGTCTTCCTGTAGACATCAATCAGACCTTTGAATTGCCTCTCTCCTCCCTTCAACGCAGCCTTGGCATCATCATTGGCCAAACGGATATGAGCATAATCCAAAGAGTACACAATGAGTAGCGCTGAGGCACCAGCAGCACCCCCACAAGCCAAGTTTCCAGCAAACCATTTCCGGTAAACCATCTTTATCTTTCTTGAAGTTGGAAAGCCTCTTGAAGTAATCATTGAAAGCGAAGCTCAGGCCCTGGGACAAATTTAAGAAAACAGTTAGCATCCAATAACAGCTGAACATGAAATCTGTTTACACAAAAAAATAAATAAATAAAAAGAATAAACACACTAACCTGGTGGGGAAGTAACGGATGACATTGGCAGTATTTCTTCTCCACAAAGAAATAAGCCCCTCATCCTCAATCATACACCTCAAACAGTAATCAAAAGGTTCAGACAGCCTACCAGTCTTGATCATCTAATCATGGTTCTGATTCAAAAACTTAAGACGCTCATAGGGAGCTAGAGTTGTTTTCAACCCAGCAGCAAGAACTCCTCCCAAAAGGAAATCGATGGAATAATGAGCAAGACCTTTCCCAGATAGGCCTTGGCCAAAAACAGGAGACATAGTATATGGTACAATGGAAGGATCAGTGGAAGCTCCACATGATCGCACCAAGGGGTACTGGAATGCCGTATTAGAGTAGTTCCCATATGCAGTGCATCTCTGATACATGGAAGGCCCGTTGAAAGCTCCATTGCAGCCTTGATGGGAAAGACTGAACTGAAGGAACCGGCCAGCTACCTTCTGCATCATGGTAGGGTGTTGAGCTTGATCAACCATGGTGACTTTCCCTGCAAAGTGCCATACACAATCAGTTATAAAGATATATAAATTTGTAAGCAAAGAACAGTACACACACTGAATGAGATAAAACAACATATAAAAAAAGAAAGAAAATAGTTCACATGCTCAATTTAGTGAAACAAAACTCAAGATATCATTTGATAAAGAGATAATCAGATAAATATACGAAGTAATTCTTGCGCAATCCATATTAAGAAAAAAAAAAAAAGTGAAAAACTGAATCAGAGAACTCAGGACAAAGACATAAAAAACAAAGCATACAGTATGATGATCAATAGAGCAGGGCATAAAACACAACATCATGATTATATCTGTGTGTGTGTTTGTGTTATATATCAATAATTCAACAAAAAATGAATCCATCCATTAAAAGAAACACTATAATTGCTTACAGAAGGAGTAAATCAACAAGTTGACACGAAGTTCTGAAGCACAACCAACTTCAATACCAAGCACAAAACCATAGGTTCTATGATAGAATAAATAAATAATAACCAAAACACCTTCAAATCGGTAACTAAAAATAGATCTAAATCGTTACAAATGACTGTCACTACTCAAACCACCCACTAACTAATAAATCAACTAACCATTTCCCTAATGATCAATCTAAAAATTGAATATATACGAATCAAAACATGTTAGAAAAATCAAAGAGTTGAAGCAACATCACACAACAAATAAAAAATTGAGACACGAAATTTACGTGGAAAACTCCCAAATAAATTGACAGAAAAACCACGGGCAAGTAATGAAAGATTTTCACTATAGCAAAATATGAGTTACAACAACTTCTCTCTAAATACAAGGAGAAAAACAAATAAAATTCCCTCTAGAAATAGGAGAAATAACTTTTTGCTACAACAAAAGGAAGGAGAAAATTCTAAAAGTGATAACTTCTCGCTATTGATTTCCTACACTCCTATTTATAGAAGTGCAATGGTGGTTCCTTGGCAATTAATGCTTCCCACCATCTTTGACAGCCACCATCTTTGACAGCCACCTTTGACAGCCACCATCTTTGACAGCCACCATCTTTCACAGCCCAAGTTGTAAAAAGTGAGTTTACAACTCACATTCTCCCACTTAAACTCACTTTTTACTATTCCTCAATCCTTTCTAAACTCGCCACTTTCATGTTGCTTACGTTTTTAACAAGCCACAGGAGGATCTACACCATATAAACTTGTCAGCCTTGATTGGTTTTGTCATGACATCTGCCAAGTTGTCTTTTATGTGAATCTTTTTCATTTCCACACTACCTTCTTCTACTACTACTCGAACAAAATGATACTGAACGCCTATGTGTTTTGTTCTGGAATGGAAAACTGGATTTCTTGCAATATGCAAGGCATTCTGACTATCACAATACAAAGAAATTTTCTCTTGTTTGTGTCTGATTTCTTCTAGTAGTCTTTTAATCCAAACTGCTTCCTTACAAGCTTGCGTAGCTGCCATGTACTCAGCTTCAGTTGTAGATAAGGCCACAACAGTCTGCAACTTTGATACCCAGCTTACTGCACCTCCTGCAAATATGAACACATAGCCTGTAATAGATTTTCTTTTATCGACATCTCTTGCAAAATCTAAATCAAGATAGCTTCTAATAGTAAATTATGATCCTTCATAACATAATGCAACATCTGAGGTTCCTTTAACATATCTAAGGATTCTCTTAATAGCGTTCCAATGCTCTTTACCAGGATTTGCCATAAATCGACTGATCATACCAACTGCTTGAGTAATATCTGGTCTTGTACAGGTCATGGCATACATAAGGCTTCCCACTGCTGATGCATACGGTACTCGAGACATTTCCATCCTCTCCGCTTCATTGCTAGGACTCATACTTGAGGATAATTTAAAATTGACTGGAACTGGGGTAGAGATTGACTTACAATCTTGCATATTGAAGCATCGCAAGATTTTCTTGAGATAATTCTTCTGAGAAAGCCAAATTTTCTTGTCTTTTCTGTCTCGGTGAATTTGCATCCCTAGAATCTTGTTTACAAGTCCCAAATCCTTCATATCAAACTCCCTAGCCAATTGTGCCTTTAATTCCTGGACTCGATCTTTGTTGGAACCTGCTACCAACATGTCGTCCACATACAACAACAAAATAATGAAACTATCATCTTCAAACCTGTTGTAATATGTACAATGGTCTGAACTTAGTCTGTTGTATTTGAGGCTAATAATGAAGGAATCAAATCTCTTGTACCAACATCTTGGCACCTGCTTTAGACCGTACAGAGATTTGGTTAACCTACAAACCAAGTTTTCTTTTCCTTTTTCTTCAAACCCTTGGTTAGAGCATATAAATCTCTTTTTCAAGTTTTCCATGAAGAAAAGCATTACCTAAATTTGAATCAGGTTTATTTTTCATTGATCTTTATATCCCCATTAGAAAGATAATTTTTTTATATATAAATACATAATAAAATCGTTGATATAAAATATTAATATAATTTCATTTTTTTCTACTTCTCATATATTATAATAATATATACGACCACACAACAGTAAAAACCTTTCATATAGTGATACTTATATAAGAATAACTCTTAGATTGTAATAGTTATAATTTTTATAACTTCCTGTCTTAAAAAAGGTTGTCTCCATATAGTAATAATTCTGTAATATTATCAAAAAATATATGTTATGTTACATTAAAGATTTAAGACAAATAAAATATTCTACTAAAATTGTTTAGGACACATGATTTATATTTTGGAATTGTTACCCCATCTTTTCATTTGCTAGAAATGTAATAAACTTGCTAGCTATGAAACCCTTTTCTTGTTAAGCTAATATATTTTAGCTTGCTCAAGCAGTATTTAAGCTTCATGACACGAAACTTTTGTATTTCCGTACTATCATCTTTATGATTATTTCTTTTATCTTCTTGTCTAATTGTAGCAATGATTCTTCTTTGGTTGTAAGCTGCACAATTTTTATTCATTAGTTAGATCAAGAAAGTACATTAATATCTATTCGATTAGTGTAGTAAATTCTGAAAGCTAATCACTCAATTTTGTATGACTCTTTTATTTCTTGTCAATGCTATCACTTAATTTTCAATGACTCTTTATTTTCCTCATCCACTTCATTATAACATTGCAATTCATCGAAATCAGGGGTTCTAATATTACAATGCTTAAAACCTTGTCAATTGTTTGTAGCTTCACATCAATTGATTATGCATCAACTGCATTATAGTTCTATCAATGACACTTATCTTTGTTAGTTCCAAAATACAGTCTTCTATCTATTTTAAAGTAGGCAATTGAAGCGTTGAATTTGAAATCTTAATATACTATTAAAATATGAATTATAGAATCTTAATACTATACTACTAAAACATAAATTAAAAAATCAAGAAATCAAAACTATAATTTGTGTCGCTACACCTCCTTAAGTTATTTAAGTCTTGATAGTAATAAAATTAGTTCAGTCTTAAGATTTGATTATAGTCAGGTTTTAATGTATATACGTTCGGATGATAACCAAATAAAAAAAAAAAAACTGATATTTTCAATTAATCATTAAAATTATAAAGATATACCCCCATACCTAAAGAATTTGGGGATGTGTCATTTTCTTTGGATGATGGAATTGGACGGAGATAAATGAATTATTCATGGGCCTGGCCAAGCTAAAAACTGAATTCCCATTATCGACAATCTTTTTAGGCAAAGATCCAACCGTGAATATAGAAGACAAGGACTCAGAACCAACAAAAAAGTAAAAGTGCAGTGTGGGATTCATCTCTGCTACAAAGTTTAGTCTAAATTAACAGTAAAAAGAGTAGCACTATATTTATGAACATGGAGATTCGTGCTTGTTCCATAGACATGGAGATTTGACATTTTCATTTCTAGAGAGATTCCCAAGAGTGGATTATGTCATATATATATATATATAATCTATATATATATAATATATAGATATAAATATTTTTTGCATATTTCTTTCTAGCCATAGATTTTTACAGGCAAACTTGCTTGTTTCCATCGTGGATCTGGAATTCCATATATTAGATTTATAGACTCCATCTCAGTATAACTAATGAAAGAACATATTTATGAATATAGGTGAAAGACAAAGAGAGCCAAATGGTTATTGAATGGCGAAGAACATATTCCTGTCGCCACTCAAACAACGAATAAAATAAGAAGAAATATGCATCAGCGCAAGTGAGAGAGAACAAGAGAGTGATATAATCAGGAAACAAAACTACTGGTACATGGAAAAATTCCCTCAAATGATCGAAGCACTCCATGACCGCAATGGTATTTGACCACAACTCTTACAATCAGGTTTT